CACACACACACACACAGACACACTCATACACAACCATTCCTCAATAAAAACTGACAGGGAAATGTTTTGTGAAACTGGTGACACAGAAACAGGCAATTATTAGAACACTCTAATAATAGAGAGAAAAAGAGTGAGGGAGAGAGGGGAGGGATGTAGCCTGAATGAAAGAGAAGGAGACACAAAAGACTTTCATCTTTTGTCTCTACTAACTTAATGGTCATAAACAGCCTGCTTTTATTATCTAAACTCAACCCTGACTTTTTACTGTCACACTCATTCCTCCCATCCTCACCCAGTTAATGTCAGTCTTTCTCCCCTCTACAGTATCTGCCCTCTTTATTTTTGCACATTCTCTGTATCCACCGAGGCACATTTTCTGCTGTTTCTTGTTCTTGACAAAGCTAAACATCCAGTCACCAAACCAAAGCCAAGATAAAAGCTTTCCCCAGTAATCTCTCTCATTCTCGATAGTTCACTCTCTGCTCCTCTTCCCGTTGTTGTGGTGGCCGTCAGCAAGATAGGTTGTGACATACTTATTGGCACTGCAGTTTAGGCTCATTTAAAGACTTCATTATTCTATCCCTTGAGCCCTCTGTCAAACTCTCTATCTCTGTCCCACCCCTCTTCTTTATTTCCCAATCCCCCCCTCTCTCTCTATCTCTATTTCTACCAGCCCCCCTGTCAGTTTCAATGTCTGTGGTGTCAGTAGCTTGTAATTCTCCTACACCACATACACAGTTCACTCCCTCTTGGCCCCTTAATGAAGGACAGACGGCAAGAGGGTGTATGTCACTTGCCATAGATAATGTCTCAGAGAGGTGCAAGATGTATTGAACATGCTCCGAAAATGTCAGACAGCAACTATGCTGAAGCTGCTACTAGAGCCTCAGACACTGATAACATGAGAAAGCAGTAGGACTGCTCTTTGCCTCAGGTTCAATATGGAGCTCATTATTATCACGATTCAAGCTGACAAGAATCAGAGCATTGCATATTCATTATTGCAATGCTGTTAAATGTCATTTTAAATGGGTTATATAAGCTTTTTGAACAATTAGCCTGTGACAGTAGATCATATTTAAAAGCCTGTTGTTTGAGCCTGCTGAATTCCAATCCATCACTTGAATTTCAAGCAAAGTGTTCTTTAAGTTCCAGATTTAGTCAACATATGCTACTCTGGTTAATCAAGAAATGGCTCAGTAAACATAGTGACGCGGTTCATTTGTGGTGACTCATCCTCAGTGACCAGATAAACCACTAGAGAGCACAGTTTTTGCTGTTGTTGTTTTGGAGTTCATGTTGATCTTTAAATCTTACACTTGACTTAATCACATTTTCTTCAAATCTTCACTAAAACTTGCAAGTTACTTAAAGCAACACCAAGTCGTGAGCTTAGAATTATAAGGTTCTATCTCCACTTTTGGTCAAAATTGAGTTTTTGACATAATCTGATCCATTAGGTGTTAATAATGCCTGTGTGGTGTTATTTTTGTAAAAAAAAAAAAAAGATTAATAGATAAAGCTATAATAGAAGATTATACTACATAACAGTTTTGCCAGCTGGGATGTAAAAACTTTGATGCTCAATATCTCAGAACTAACCAAAACGGAGATAGAACCTTATAATTCTAAGCTCACGAAGTAACTTTTCCTCTGCGGTCGTCCTACAGGTTGGAAGCGGAATTGTCCATTACTGCTCTCGTAAATAATTTAGCCTACCGCATCCTACTGTCACACGTGCACGCACACACATGCTCTCTGTTTATCCAGCACCGGCTTAGGAATCATGATGACAATTCAAAAGCTACCAGGCTGCTAGGTATCTTACATGTAGTTACATGTAGTCTGTAGGGGTGTGACGAGATCTCGTGCCACGAGATCTCGCGAGGCTAAAACATGACGAGATTTCCCGTTGAGTGAAAAGCTGTCTCGCGATATCACCATGACTGAGCATGGGGGTGAGATTACAATATTCCACCGTTACTGTACACTCACATTCGCTTAAACTATCGTTTTGCTGTTTTTATAATAAATAATAACCATTATAAACTAATGTAAATGTCTGCTCTGCTCATCCATTAGGAGTTGCCGTTGCAATCAGTGCAGCACGAATCACAGTTCACTAATAACGTGACAATGGCGGAGGATTCGTTGCACAACATAGACTAAACTTCTGATAAATGTCTTATCTATTCACCAATTTGAAAGTAAAATGGCGCCGCATGCTGTCACAAAAAAACTCTACACAGCCATTTCATGTGAAACGTTGTCTTGCGGGTGTTGCGCACCCAAATTGTCATTTCTCGCGCTCGTGCGGTCGCGTCCAGGATGTTACTCAGAGTCAGCGCGCGCTCTGATCGGGGGCACAGAATAGATCTCTCCCAATCATCTCCTGCACTCGGCCTCCGAAGCACCAGTTGACTCCCCCTCCGTTTCCCCAAAGCCCGCCGGTTTCCCTCGTACGCTGATATTAGAGTATTTAAACATTCTCTATGGTATTTTTTTAAATGACACACTGCCTCTTTCTTTCTCTTACATACAGGGGTTGGACAATGAAACTGAAACACCTGGTCTTACAACACAATAATTTGTTAGAATGGTAAGGGCCTCATTTTGCATCCAAATACAGCACCAATTGACAGATAGAAGTCCTTCACAGTGACCAGAGGGATTATGAGCCGTTCCTCTTCCATAACAGTGTCCAGGTCACTATATGATGCTGGTGGACTCGCTCCTCCAAAACACCTCAATAATATTTAGATCTGGTGACTGTCAGACCATGGGAGATGTTCAACGTCACTTTCATCTTCATCAAACCCTTCTGTCACAAGTCTTGCTGTGTGTGTTGGTGCATGATCATGCTGATACACGGTTTGAGCATCAGGTGCTCATGATCCTCCAGAAGGGTTTGGTAGTCCTCTGCAGTGTCGTGTCCATCAAATACAATCAGGATTGTCATGATATTGGAGCTCAAACCATCACTGATCCACCCGTGCTTCACTCTGAAGATTGTCCGCCAGGCATATAGATGTGAAACCTCCAACATTGGCCAGTGTTTCAGTTTCATTGTCCAACCCCTGTATGTAGGCTAGTTATTTAAACTCTTTAGACTTTTAATGATTAGTGCTTTATTTTTAAAGTTTGTGGGAAAGAATTGTGTAAAAAAAATATCTCCCATTTTGGGGATGGAATCCGGGAAATCTCCCTTATTTTCAATGTTCAATGTTGACAGCTTCGAATATTGAGAGTTCTGTAATGTTTTTAGGACAACAGACAAGAAGCGAGGGTCTGTTTCTGAACTTATAATCGGAACACAAGAACAACAAGAGACAAAACAAACCAGCCTCATTTCTCTCTACCATTTCCAAACTTGCAGGATTAACCCTGTAACTGCTGGTGCAAAATAAAACAGCAATTTTTAAAACAATTATAAAGAGTCTGTGTGCTAACTTTGATTATGGTTGCACTTGCTTGTTTGCACTTCGGACTTCAATGAGTTCAGATAGGAGGTCACACACAGCCTCAATCAGAAGTTCTTAAAGCTCTTAAATACAGTAAGGTCTGAAGAGACTCATGTGAAATCAAACAGGAGAAAAGCCAGTCAATAAAAACCTTTTGCAGTGCTTGTATATTGTTTTCTTTCAATGCATTTGATAATTCATACTCAAACTAGACCTGAAATGAGATGCATTAGTGCATTATTAGTTAAAAGATTGCAAAATGCACCTGCATACTATTTTTCCAGTCATGAATTTTGTCATTGGGGATTTCTGAAAAATTGTGCAAAAATCTTGTCGCATCTCGTTCTCGTGAACCCAATCTCGTCACACCCCTAGTAGTCTGTCAGCAATTGTAACACTTGCAGTGAAGCAAGTCAAATTTGTAGTTTTCTTATTTCTCATTCGGACTACAGAAAAATCTTACATAGCGTGGATATATCAGATAAAGGACCGCAAAGCGGTGGCATAAGTGCATTTCACCATGTCACGACTTGATGAACTACTATACCGATTTTGAAAACATTATTTTATGATAAAAAATCTTACTTAGTGTTGCTTTAATGAATTGTAGGCTTAGGCTAAGACATGTACAGTGAATTTCTTCTTGAATGGATACATTTTGTTTTATTGGGGTTCATTTTATAGTGAAAACGTATGCTTATAACACCATTCAGATGATCAGATATGCAGTTCACAATGGAAAAAATATCTTGCTGTCTATCTATTTGTTTATTTGGTTGTCTGTACATAAGGCTCATGAACCTAGCTTTTTTTTTTTTTTCAAAACTTGCAAACAAAGCTTTTTCAAGCCAACATCCAGAGATCGTCTTGAAAGAGTTACTTTCTAGTAAAAAAAATAAAGTACTTTTATATTAATTTATTTATCTATTTAGAGTTCTGATTCGTTTAAATTATATTTCCTTACATTCCAATTTCAATTCTGCATTCTGTGAAATGCTACAACCCGGTCTCACCCCAAGACGTCATATAACTGACGTTTTGGGACGTCTTTTGACCATACGTCAATATTCGCCTTTTTAGGGCCCCCTTAAACGTCGGTAGATGAGGTTATGGGATCCTAACTCTACCCCAGACCTAAACCTAACCCTAAACCTAACCCGTCATCTAACTGACGTTAAAGGTAAAGCGTCAGTTGTATGACGGCCCGGGATCGCCATCTACCGACGTTTAAGGGGGCCCTAAAAAGGCTGATATTGACGTATGGTCAAAATACGTCCCAAAACGTCAGTTATATGACTTTTTGGGATGAGACTGTGTTAAATGCTACAGTATATATTGAATTCAAATTCACAAATTTAAAACTAATATTAGTTTAAAAGGTTTAGCTTATTAAGTTCTGAATGATATTCAAAACTGACTTCTACAGAATCTTTATTTCATTTATTTTCCTTCCTCAACTGAAAATAAATTGTGAATAGATAGTCTGACTCTAATCCGGAAAGTTGGTGTTATGATTGCCATGGTTGTGGTCTCACTCACCTGTAAATTAGTGACTCATCTGCAGTGCAGTTATACTGTATTTGAAACATCCACACAAGGTTGGCTGCCATTAGACGACCCTTTCCCCATCTCACTTGTGCTGAGGTGGAGGTCACTCCTTGTACTTTCACCATCTGCTCCTCACCCCCTTCGCTGACCACATCCTCACTCTCTGCTTGACCCTCCTCCAGTCCCTCCTGGGGATCACTGTTAGTGTCCAGGCCAGGGTTTTGCCCACTGGAGGTCTTCCCTCTGGTGATGTCCGATGATCCTGGGTCACGAGTTAACAAAACCGTTCCATTTCCACGATGGGGGAGTGGGATAACCTTCAGGTCAACTAGCGAGGTGGCCTCACCTGCAGCATTAATAGCAATGCAAGTGTACGTACCATCATCCCGAGCAACAGTCACAAGTAGCTCAAGAGTGCCATTGCGGAAAGATGTGGTGCGACTGGAATTGCCGATGATGCGATCATCTGGTGAGACCCAGTGCACAACTGGCTCTGGATCACCAATAGCACGACATTTGAGTGTTGCCCTTTGGCCCTCTAAAACCCAGAGTTTGTGTGTATGTCGGGTAATAAGCGGAGGCTCACAGGCAAATTCCTCCTCAGGAATAGACCAGAAGTAACGTCCCGCTAAATGAAGTGGTGTAGCACAGGTCTCCATATCATCACTGCGGATTAGCCTCCTCAACCAAAGCAATTCACAGTTGCAGTGTAATGGGTTACCCCCGAAATTCAAGTTGATCACAGCATTGTAAGGTGTAGGACTGATTACCCCTGTTTGGGAGCGAGCGAACAACTGATCGGGTGGTAAAGTCTTTAGGCGATTGGAGGTCATGTCCAATCGGGCTAGTTTGTAGAGCTCACTAAAAGACCCCTCAGCGATCTGGTCAATGAGATTGTGATCTAGGTTTAAAGTGTGCAGACTCGACATGCTCTGAATGGCATCCCAGGGAGCCTTGCGCAGATTGTTATAGGATAAGTCCAAGTCCTCTAGAGTGAGTAAAAAGTCATCAAAGGCCTCTGAGGAGATATTGATGAGCTGGTTGTTGTTGACAATAAGATGTTGCAGGTTTAGCATGCCTGCTAAGTCTCGTGGGCCCAGCACGGAAAGTCGATTGCCATCTAAGTGCAATGATCGAAGACTTTCCAGATCTGCAAATGCCAGTGGCCGGATGTGACTGATGGTATTCCGGGATAGTGTCAAATCCACCAGTCCTGTCATGTTGGCAAAGTCAGCTCCTCCCACTTCTCGAATGAAGTTGTCAGCAAGACGAAGCTCAACGGTTCGCCGGTCAATGTTTGGCGGGACGAAAAGAAGACCTTTGTCGGCACAAAGTGTACTTAGAGATTCCGAGAGATTCCTGCAGACGCAGTGGAAGGGACACGATGAGACTACGCCCCACGTCTCACCGGCTACGGCTCCTGGAATCTGACCAAAAAGAACAGGCAGCAAACAGGCACAAGTGAACAGTGCCAGCCAGTGCAGGAATGGCAGTGGCAGTGGCAGTGAGGATGTGTCTGGGGGTGAGTATCTGCTGGTTAACTTTGGCCACAGTGAACGGGATGGTTGACGGAATGCTTCAGAGGGCTTGAGGATAGTTTGTTTCAGATGGATAGACGGATGAGAGGGGAATGAGGGGGAGTGTGTGTTTTTGTGAGGATGGCATAAAATGTGGGACGGATGTGGTTTTCTGAATGGCTGAAGGGGTGGGGAGTCTTGCATGGTAGATAGGGGAGTGATCCACAGACCTAGAAAAAGCAGAAAGAGAAAGATATCAGTCATTTGTGTTTTAAGTGTCAACTTTGTACTGCTGTGTTTTTTGTTTTGTTTTTTTTAGCTCTGAATGAGCTCATCCAGTTGCTCTTCACAGGAATCGCAATACTTGGGATTCATAACTGCAAATAAAACTACAGCATAAACCAATGCCATAACCATACTCTCAGACAAACACTATTGGTGGAAACTCTACTATCCTCAAACTTCTAAAAAGCTTGTAAAGGCCATATAGCAATTGCTTTAGTGCTTTTTGTTCACTTCACACTTCCACCTTATCTTGTGGCAGTTTTTTTTCTCTCAGAGGAGTCATTTGCTTCACTTCAAGAGAAGTGTGAGCCACAAATGCTTGTCATTTCCCTGAAAATTAGAGCTTGAATTATATAGACACAGAGACTAAATTGATCAGCACTGATAGACGAACTCTGCTAAAGATTGTTTCAATCTTAATGGCATGGAAGCTACAAACCAAATTATGAGCCAAATTACAGAATTATCCGAATTATGAGTCAACTTCAAAGTCAGAATGTAAAGGTTGATACTTTGTGCAGTACAGACAGGAGATGAACATGAGCAAACAGGGAGAAAGAGGAGGACAAAAAGGACAAAATAATCATCACATAAAAAAAATGCTAATTACAGGTTTGAGACTGAAAAATCTATAATTCCTATAATTTGATCTCTTGCACCAATTTGTCCCTTGCATTGAGTTGTCATCGTAAAATATGGGTTTCAACCCGAAGGTGATTCCGAAGAGGTATTCAATTATTTTAGAGTGTACATCACATTTCTGCCCTGCATTAGCGCATTCAGCAAATACTCTTTAACTGTGTCACTTAACACTAAGTGCATGTAATCATACAGGTACAAGCCAAGGAAAACAGCTATCAGAATCAGCATGAAATGCTCCATCTCTTTAGAGTGAGAATGTGGACCCAAGCTCAACTGAGATAAGTTACAAAATCAAACAATCAGTCTTCCTCATGGCCAGTGTTGAGAAGTAACCTACTAAAAATTGTGACAATACTAACCTAAATGCATGTATAATTTGAGTGAAACTATAGCTTTTCCAATAAGTTACTTTTGCACTGTAAACACAACTAAATGCTAAATACAGCTGGTTTTAATGTCACATTGTATTTTGCAAGCAACATTTCTGCCAAGAAAGCTGAGGTTTTATTTCTTTATTTCTTTATTTTTTGCTATATTTAGTTTAAATGTATCAAAGGGTTTTATATATATATATATATTGTTTATAGATCTTGCATTGCATTTTAGCTTTAATGTAGTTAGCTACTTGTTTTTTTAGAAAAGTTGCTTGGCTGTAGTTTAATTAGGTTCACAGTAACATCTCCAGCACTGCTCGTGGCAGACTCACAGCTGTAACAGTGATCTTTAAATAACCATTCCCAACCGTTTGTGTCCATGCAGTACTTCCCGTGAATGCACATCATTAGTGGAGCTTGTGCTTCACCCCTCTTCGGTATTATTAACAGTACAGTGCAGTAATTATGCAAATTTCAAAATGACAAGATAATATTTTTTGCAAAGTCATTACACTGTAAAATGAAGATAAATATAACCAGGGAACAATCAGACTTTACTCAATTAGGCTTGTTTTCAGCACATTACTCATTAAAAGTGGCAGATTCTAATTTTGTAATTATATAACAAAATTAGATGAGTCCTCATGACTTTCCTCTTGGAAGTCCAGAAATGGGAGGAATGTAGAACATTTATTAATTATTATTTATGTTCACATAGAAGTTCCTGATTAAACCTCAGGATTAAATCAATTACTGTATTGATTGTACGACCTACTCGGAAAGATTTTTTGCAGAGAGCATTAGGATTGTTCTTAGCATCATGCTTTTGTGATAGTTACAAAAACTATACGGTTTTGGTATTGTATTTTTTTAAGTCACCTGTGTGACTTTCTTTTCCTGAACATAAAAAAGAAAGGATTTTTGAATGTTTTTATTTTTGTACATGGGGCCATTGTACGTATGCCAATGTTTTTGGACCCCAACATTCTTCAAAATGTCGTCTTTTGTTCTGCAAAGAAAAACAAAATGCCATACAGGTTTGAAACAACATAGTTAGTAATTTAGGGTGAACTATCCCTTTAAGTGAAGAGAATTCAGTGAAGGCATATGGAGAGTGTTGATGCTCAATGATTCATTACTGGAGTTTTGCATAGGAATACACCATAAGAAAGCATTTTCGACATGTTGGTGGAGAAAAGTGCAACTGAGTGCAATTTCCAACGTGACTTTTAATGTCTTGTAACTTTGCATTCCCAGAAGTCTGTGGGAGATCGAGCGGAAAAAAAACTCAATAGTGCTAAAAGTATGTGCTTCATCTGTCTCTTTCTCTTCCTTTTCACTTTTCCTGTGTGCGGTCTTAGCCCACCCTCCTATGACCTTCCTTCTCCTCTTCCTCCCTGTTTTTTTTTTTCTCCACGCCCCCCTCTATTATCCAATGTTCTTATCACCAGTGTCCGCTCTTCCCATCTGCCCTTGAGGTAACTTGAGAAGTGATGCAACATTAGTTAAAATATCCCCCCCTCCCTCTCTCCCTCCTTCTACCACTCTCACCATCTTTTGCCACCTGAGAACAGAACAGCCGAAATAGATCTTGTCTCTCTCCTCCATCGATCCGGCCGCCTGGGATAGATAGCAGCCCTTCCTCAATATTATCTGGCCTCTTCCTCCTTCTTCCTTGCCCTCTACTCATATTTGTCCCTAAGTTCAGGGCATGCTTGTGCCTGTCTTGGTCTAATTTTATCTTCTAGAGCGACTAGGCATGCGTGCATGTGTGTGTTGGTGGGGAATAGATTAGATTAGAATAGAATATAAATTCTGGTAATCCTTTTGTAATCCGTAATGTTATTCATGATTCAGACTGAATGAAAAACTACTGCTAGTGCCTGGCTTTAGAACATAATAACCCTGTCTTGTGTGTGTGTGTGTGTGTGTGTGTGTCTCACTCCGAACATCTCTCTGCACTTAGCAACTCCCTCAGCCCTCTTTCGCCAACACGTTGTGTCCTCAACGCACCCCTTCTTCCTCCACGGATCCCTCGCTGCCTCATATTAAATCACACACAGAGCTTTGCTGCTGTTGTCAGTGTCTCCACAACTTCAGAAGCCACAAAACAGATGACCATTTACTAACGATTATCACATCAATTAGATTCTGTACTGCACAAGACTCTGAAGAGAGCCATCACACACACACACACACACACTAACACACACACACAGTGGTTGAAAGACTAATTGAACCTGCATTGACTGAATAAGAATTCATTAGGATCCTGGCTTTTAACTAAGGATCCTGGATCCTTAGTTTTACTCTTTTCTCGTTACTCACGTTGAAGAGCAAGATTTGTTTCTTTTTTCTTTCAGGAAGGTTTTTTTTATTATTTTTTTTTATTATTATTTATTTTTTCCCCAGGCAGCATGGCACTGTAAACAGGGCACTGAGACTCTTTTGAAATGTCCTCATATTGTTGGAGCTTTACTTAATTTTATTAGTATTATTATTATTGTAGTTACTGGTGTAAACATGATTTTTATATTTTATTTTATTTATTTTTTTTAGATTTAATTTATTTTATTAGTTGTTTTGTTTTGTTTTATTCATTGGTCCTAACCTAATATTGTTCATAACATTTTAATATTCTAAATTTGTTATTATCAATTCAATAAAAAGTGTTATTCCAATGCATATTTCAGTAATAAATGACAATGGCAACTGCATTTTAACTTAAATAGAATTCTGATTCGATTCAATATTGAGTCATTTGGGAATAGTTTAGTCTCAAAATCTAGTTGCATTTTATTTTGTGATTTCACTGTGACTTTATTATTGTGTCTTCTAGCACTGAGGAGGCTTTTCTCATAGCCAGACAGATATAAGCAGCACATATATAAGCAGTGGTTTGTGGTGATGGGAAGAGGAGTGCAGGGTGATGCCCATAGGAATGTATCCCACTAGGACACAATTTATTGTCGGCGAGAGCGGTCAGAATTTAGAGCAGGCACAATCTCATAAAAGCTATGAGTGATAGAGAAGCAAAGTGCATTTCTGAGACAAGGGAGTCTATAATACCTGGAGAGAGTTAACCATTACTGTTCAAGGACAGCTGCTTCTATAGAAAATATGCTATTTGAAATTGGCTCCAGATTTTTGTGCCTTTTAAACCAGTTATCTGAGCTGGAAAGTGACTAAAACTGCAGAAAAATACATCATGATTGGCTGATGGCAACACAGTCCCAAGCTCTCAACAACTATTATGAGATAGATGCAAAAAATCAGTCACTACATAAGCGTACTGTAATGTAATGAAGTATTAGGAGTATAAATTGCTTGCAACAACAACAACAAAAAATGTTTTTCATCAGAATTCACAGATATTATTTTAAAGTTGATTGTGATTTCACTTTTTTTCATTTTAAATAGTGTCGAATGTTGCTGTTGGTGCATGAACAGTGTCTGCAAAGTTGCTGCGCTGAAAGTTCAACTGGCAGAGATATCGTCTTTTAAAAATCAGGACGTTTAATGCCTACAAAAACGACTAGAATGGGACTACGAGACAGCTGTCAGGTCTTCTGTGTCCGGGCTTCCTACGGACACTGTAGTTCGTCAACAATGGCCAAAATTTATGTTTGATTATGCTCCTGAAAATTACAATCGTAATATAGCTCTCTGTGCTGCGCATTTTATGGAAGACAGCTTCCAGAATCTCCACGAATTCAATGCCGGATTCAACAAGAAACTATTATTAAAACATTAAGCAGTTCCAACTTTAAAACCAGAGGCAGCAGTTGTTGGGCCACAACCTGTAAGTAGGCTAAAAAAGACTTAATCATTTTAAACGAATTAGCATGTATAATTTCAGACGTAATGTTTTAGTTTTATTAAAGACGTAAACAAATGCTAGCTGTGTGTCAAACGTGTATAAACATTTT